TCTAGTGTTTTATTTGCTTTATTATAATTATATATATACATTCTGCCGCCCAGCGCCACGCTACAGAGAATTTAGGCGAGTAAGTTGTTTACTATCGTCTGTACAGTATGTAAATTAGGTATTGTAAGTCTAATACAGCACTAATACAGTCTAATTTTATACATTTCTTGTGAAAGAAACATTTCTTATTCAACGGCCATAAAAATTATTTATATTAATGATGTCTCCAAAGTTCAACGAAGTTTTTGCAGAAAAATAACTTATCAGAAATTGCCCGCCGTTTGGTGTGCTGCTCCGCGACGAAAACAAGCTTGAGCAATGGCGATGTCAAACGGTGCACACTCGGTAAGTAATCCTACAATTTTTTGTTTATAGCATAGTTTATACGGATTATTTCCAAAAAAATTATACATATTTTGGAAATGTTGAGTCAAATTAGTCTAGAATCGATTAATTTTATGGAAGAAAAGCTTTCAAACAGCTGTAGTCTGTAAACTTTACACGTGTCGGGCTGTGATTGGCAAGGACTCGTACAAAATTGATTCATAAAGAACGGAACGTATCTACCGTGTTATAGGGGGGTCGACTGTACTTTTAAATTTTTTAGGTATTTTAATATCTTTTCCATTACATTTTAATTCTATTTGAAATGTTTAAAATATTTCTTATATTAAACCTCTGTTTCAAATATAATGTTCTTTTCAGAATTGTTTTTGAATAAGTTAGTGATTTTGTCTGAATTCTGTGTTCCAAATCACCTGAAGACATTAATGCAATGTTCAAAATGTTTATGAATCTTCTCTAATTTATTAGTTTTTTAATGCCAACAGATAGTTTTTTTTTTTATTTTATTAATTATGTCATTCAGTTATATTTATACTGTTTTGACAATGAGAACATATTTTCTAGTAGCTTTTATGTTTAAGGTCAAAAAACTTTGATATATAATTAATAAAAGGAATGAATATAAAGAAAGATGAAACATTCTATTTCATTTGAAGGAAAAAAAAATTCTATTTTAATTCAATATTGTTACTTTTTTCAAAAATTTTCCATTTTAATAGTAGAATTTTCATTAAAATATTTTATTAAAGTTTATGTATTTATACAAATTGTATAAATACATAAACTTTAATAAAATATTTTAATGAATACAAAACATTTCATCTTGTAGATATAAAGAAATTTTCAAAATTAAATACAACAAACTTAAGACAAAAGTAAAAATAATTTATTTTGCTAAAAGAACAAAGAATAATTTACTCTTAACTCTATATTAATGTTTCAGATATTGTTGATAAAAAAATATAGTTTCTCAATTAACTTCAAAACGTACATAAAATGCACTGTATTTGTAATTTTACTCTTCTCACATCCAAATAGTCAGAAATGTGGTAAATACTGCTGATTTTATTTCCAAACAAGTTACATTTATTTTAAGTTAAAAGAATAGATTATCACATATGATGTGATAACCTACTCTTATAAAGTTAATTTTCAAATTTTATTACTTTCCTGGCTGTTATATATAACAGAGGGAAAAATATGGCAATTGGTCAAAACATGGCCCCCCAAGATTTTTACAGTTTTGTACTCTGGACATTGAAACATCCAGAAATACAAAAGAATTTGGGGATTTATTCTGTATGTATGAGTGTTTGTGTTTGTTTGTTTGTTTGTTTGTTTGTTTGTTTGTTTGTGTGTGTGTGTGTGGGACACAGTTTTGTTCACCCTGTTTGAAGCTTAACTCCTGTGCTTTTTGTCAAAAATTTCTGAAATTTTGTAGGGAAGTTTGTGTATTACAGGGATTGTTGACATTTAACTACCATAATTTAATAGCATCAGAGTGGAAAGATGAAGGGGATTGTGTGTTATATCTTGGATAGAGTTGGACTTAATGACAATTTTAATTGTTGTTAGTATTTATAATATTTTAGAAAACCCATCCCTACCTTCAAAATTGAGTTTTTGTCATTTTATAATGATTAAAAGTAGAAAGTTTTTTAATAAAATATCATAACAGATGGCATCACATGCAGTTTTAAATGTTGCCAGGAAAGTTAAACAACTCATTGCTGGATTATTTTTCTTTAATGTAGTCAAAATGTGAACAGTAAGATTTAAAATTATCATGTAATATTTTCAAAAGCCATGTTCTATCAACCACATTTTTTTCTTGTTCATAACATTCATTGTTTTCTTATTTTATCTCATATTTTATAATGCCAATTTGGTCAACTTTGTTGCATTTTGGTTACTGAACCTTCATATTTTTAAGTTTGTGCCAGTGTTCTAATATTAATTTCTGTTTTTGTTTTGACATTAATGAATAAACTTTAGTAATGCTCTTATATGGAGATTTAATAAGCTCTTATATGAAGATTTATAAGTATTTAGGATTCACTAAATTCTATATCCTTCAAAAATACCCAAACAAATGTTATCATACTCTGTATTGGAGCTAAATCCAGACTCTTACCATGTCTACTCACCAAATCTATAGATATAAGACAGGGTAATCAAACCTACTTTAAGGCAACATATTGCTCTAGTGTTTTATTTGCTTAACAGCAGTTAATTTTTTTCCCTGTTATTCAGCTTTACATAAAGACAAATAAGAAAACAGATCATCTTCTATCTATCTATATAAATAAAAATGTAATGTTCGTTTGTTCCTACCGATTCCTTTGAAATTTTGACACAACGCTGCATTCGAATACGCACGTGTTTTTATNTAATTTTATTATTATTGTTAATATAAATAAACTCAGTTGTAATATGCAAATTTGAATATTTCAAATTAAATGTATAATTTGTAAAATTTTATGTAAATAATTTTACATAAAATTTTACAAATTATACATTTGTAAAATTTATCATGTTGGAATGTACATATCATGTTGGAAATATTTTCTATAATTTATAATTGTTTATTTTAAGAAATTGAACAATTTTTAATTATTATTTAAATAACACTTATAATTTATTACAACATAAAATCAGACTGTAATTCTAGAATTACAATTTGATTTTTTTTTAAATATTATTTAAAAAAAACATTTTAATCTGTATACAATTTTATTTATTTATAGCTATACCAGTGAAATCAAAGAAAACAAAAGCTGTTGACATTGAGGTAAATAAAAAAAAAATAATCTATATTGTTTATTCTTAAGGTGGAAAACTATTTATTTTATATTTTTAGTGAAAGCAGGTTAAATTGATATTTTGCAACTGTAAATTTAAAATTTTTTGATGATTTCAGAATTGAAATAATTCAACTGTAGAAATAAATTTTAATTTATAATCAGATAAATTTACTGTTAAATTAATAGTTATTTATGGGTTAAATACACATATCTATATGGAAGTTGGGATGATCAGGTAACTGAAAAATCTCTTGATAAACGAGTTGTTACTCTGATGACAAGAAATTACTAATTGGGTATATATAATTTAAAAACCATAACATATTAGGAAAATATTCTACTTCAATTTCTTGGATTGTGTAAGTATAATGTTTCTACAATCTGCAATTGTAAACTCTCTTCAAATTATGTATATAGTTATTAAAAATGTCAGCAGAGAGCAAATACTTATTTGTATTGTAAGTTTTGTATAATTATAAAGTTTTAGTCTAAATATCATTTAAATTATTCTGTAATTGGCAAATTCAACAACTATGATTCCTTTTTAAATTTAATAATATAATCACATATTGCTAATTATAAAAAACATAACATGCAAATGGATACATTCCTATATACATTACAAAAATGTTTAAATCATGTTTGTGAATTTTAAATCTATTCTAAAATTTTTTTATTTTATTTTATTCTATATTAAGAAAGAATAATTAAAATACTAAAATTTAATATTAATTTATAATGGCCTCAGAGCATTAAATTTGATAAAATTAACTGAATTGCATTGATACTATGTATAACAGAAAATTTTTGTTTGGATTAATAAAACTAAATTATTGCTTTCTTTTCTGTATCAAGTCAAAGTACCCAGCGAATACAATAAGCATTGAGTAACAGTGACTGGTGAGAGTAAACAGACAATAACCATTGTAATCATCAAAATAAATAAAATAAAGCCTATTAAAGATATTAAAACTAGTGTTGCAATGAATAGTATATTCGGCCTCAGGCTGAATACTGAATATTCGGCCAAACTATTCGGTTTGATTAATGCACGTACAAAAATTGGCGCGCAAACTGCATTATGACAAGGACCCTGCTCTCTATTGGCCACTGTCACTACACTTTGCCAATCGTGTTAATTCTTGACAGTTCAGACAAGAGTGTCATGGCAGTGTGATAAGTGATGATATCAAATCTGGATAGCAATGAAATGACCTACACGTGCAAATAATGGAAGAAGAACAGAGAAGGACCGCAAAGTGAAAATGTGAAAATAAATATGAAATTGAGTTGATAACATAATTGAACAAGTCGATTATGTTATCAACTCAATAAGCTGCTTTGAACAAGTTGAGGCAGCTTATTTGCATGAAATTCACGGTTGTGAATGCCAAATAATTGTTGTCATAGACTTCGAAAAGCTAAATGCTTGTAATGAAAGTCACTTAGCGTGCAAGGGCGAAAGCCTGAGGTCGTTAGGGCTACCGAGCTGTTTCGAATCTATGAAATCATAACTGTGACTTATACCGGCGTCCTATCTGTCTCTTTTCTCCGTTATCACCAGGCTATGAGTCACATAATTGTAAAATGGGAAATCTACGACGGAAACGTGATGAATCGAAAATATCGTGAGGGCGTATTATGATGTATGCATAGGCATACGTGGACTAGAGCAATAGAGGAAAGAGAAAGGGAAGAGCAAAGACGAGCGCTTAAAAAGAAGGATAGGCAGGGTCAGACCCTCAGATGTGCGACAATTCTCGAATGAATAGGTGTGTACGTGTGCTGATCTTTGTAATTATAAATTGTGAATACAAGTGACTAATATTATGTTTTTGTATTTTGTGCATGTTATAAGTTATAAATAAATATAAACAAACAACACTAACCGGATAACATTAAATCTAAATACCAAAATGATTAATTTACTGTGTTTTTGTTATTTCTTACTCCTGTTTTTAGGTATTCTGTAGAATAGTGATTAAATATTCGGTATTTGGCCGAATACCGAATATTTGTTAATCACTAATTAAAACCTAATCTGGGTATTTATTTATGATGCATTATTTTAAACTCATTTTGACTAGTGACAAGCAGAATTATGTAAATCTTGAAATATAAATCATTTTCTTTCACAATGTCAATTTTTATACTGCTTTCATCTGATTGAAATTTTTCAATGTTTATATTTAGAATTGTTTATTAGATGTATTTTTCTGTTTTATGATAAATTTAATCAGGATCTAAAATATTTTAAAAACATTTATTAGTGATTATAAGAATTTCTCATGTTAATACCAATCTAGTAATTTACAGGAAATATAATAATTTTTATAATTTTTTTGTGGAAATTTAAAATGTTCTGAAAATTTTTTTTAATTAAAAAAAATAATTTATATATTTATAATAGGGTGTGGTGTATGTATATTTATATATATATATATATAGTACAATAATAATAATAATAATAATA